GGCGAGCAGCATGAGGCGGAGGTGCTGGCCCCACTGGGTTCCCAGATAGCTCGTGATTTCAGTCATAAAGACCTCATGTGCTCATGCAGGGCTCTGCGGCTTCCTCACGGCCCTCTTTCAGATCACCGGCTCTGGGGACCCAGCGCCAAGTGTGAGGACATTCCAGAAGCCAACAGCCCCATGAGTGAGCCGGAGCCTCCAGCCCCAGCAGGGGCTCAGGAGACAGAGCCCTGGCTGAAAGCTTGACTGCAGCCTCGTGAGAGACACTAGGCCAGAGCCGCCACCTGGGCTGCTCTGGATTCCTGATCCACTGAGACTCAAGAAAACAGAAGGAGCTGTTTCAAGGTGGTTAAGTTTCATGGCAGCTGGTTACGCAGCGACAGATAACTAATGCAAATGGGTAGTCACCTGGAAAAGAGACAAAGTTGGATTCTCATTCACTCCTTCCCTAAAGTACATTCCAGGTGGATTAAACAATAAAAGTATAGGGGAAACCGAGAGAATTTGAAAAATAACCACTGAATTTGACAGGCTTTTCTAGGTATAACAAAACCTGAACTGAGACACAGAGATGGATAAATGCTGATGTAAAAATTACAATTTGCAGGGCAAAAAAGTAGCATAAACAGGATGAGGCACAAAGCGGGAGCAGACATTTCGACATGTGCAGCGTGAGCACAGGCTGTGCAGACCTGCTGCAGCTCAACACAAAAACCTCAGACCCTACAGAACAGAAGACCCGAACGTGCAGCTCTAAGAGCAGGAAACAACACGCTTCTTCTTGCCTTTCCAGCTTCTGTGTTTTTCCCTTTCCAAGTGTTCTCACTCCATCCCACACAGCCATTCCCTTGTCCTCTCAGTTCTGCAAACGTGTGGTGTCTCGCGCATCCCTGTTGAGCAATGACACTGCCACACCTCTCGTTCTCACCGCTGCGTTTGCAGAATTACACACTTTTTCTCCACTGAGGCCCTAGGCCTTCTTGGTAAGGTTCACTCCCAGATACTTCACAGTGTTTCTCTTGCTGTTGTAAATCTTGATACTTTCTGGTTGGTCGCTACACAGCGGGAAGATGCCCTTGGTTCTTAGAGGCTGTTCTTGACCCTGGTGGCCTGCTGGCCTCCTCCTGCTCTAGCAGTCCCTGTGCTGACACAGCTCACTCTTTCCAGGTGACTGACTCGACTGTCCATAAAACAAACGGGCTGAGCCCTCACACAACGACAGGAGCTGTTCTGGGTGCTGAGATGCAGCAGCGGGCGAGCCCTGCAGCCAGCACCTGCTACCACCCCGACGACCCTCCTCCCAGCCTACCTGGGCATGCAGAGCGGCCAGCAGGGCATCGAGCTGGACCTCCAGTGTGCGGCTGCCCACGCTCACGGCTGCCTCGAGGATCTGGCCCAGGCTCTGCTCGGGGCAGGGAGGAGAGTGTGGTCAGTCCCACATCCAGCCCCCTTCCACAAGCAGAGGCGCAGGAGGGCAGGGACCCCACCTTGGGACTCAAATGAGGAAGCCTTTCCCCCACTTCTAGAATCCAGAGTGGAGGGGAGGGGAGGGAAGGGGTCGGGAAAGGAGAGTCCCAGGTCAGAGGTCGGAGCGACAGGCCACATGGCGCTAGTTCTGTGGGCTCCTGTCCAGTGCAGAGCGGTGGCTGAAGCCTGAGCTGGTCCCCACCAGGACCCCCATCCTTCACAACCCACCACAGGATCTCAACAGAGGACCTCGGTGCCAAACGCAGACACCTTGGACACGTGGAAGGCCTCTGCATGCTTCTTGTAGAGGGCGAGGACTCCAGGGAGGAGCTTGGGGAGCTGCTCCTCCAGCTTCTCACCAGGCAGCAGGTGGCTCATAGGGCCCAGAGCCTCCACCACGGCGAGCCGGAGCTGAGGAGACAGAGGCAGGGGCCATACTGCTCACAGACAACCCCACACTGCAAGGGCCCCTCACCAAGCACCCTGGGCCAGGTTATCAGCGTGTCCTAAAGGGGATGGGAAGAGAGCCCAGCAGCCAGAGGTCAGAGTGCAGCTGCAGAGTGACCACAGCAAGGGGCTGGACAGTGGCTAGGCCAGGGGGGCACATGGGAGACAACAGGTGCCACCCCAGGCAGCACTGGGGCTTTGGAATAGAAAGGAGATGGGGGCTGGAGTAGGGCACCCACAGTGACTAGACCTCAGGAGCACATGCTCCCGAGAACAGAACACGCTCCAGAGCAAGCTGGCACCAGCCACAAGTGTAAAGAACCTGCAGGTGAGGTGCAGCACATGTGCGGGGACCTGCAGGTAGACCCCACCCAAGGTACCTCTGCTCCCCAATGCAACCCCACCACCTCCTGAGCAGTGTGCCCTGGGACTGATTGCCTAGCCTTTCTGTGCCTCAGTTTCCTTGTCTATAAAATGGGGAGATGTTAGCACCTGCCCCAGGGCACTGTGAGGCCCGCCCGGGCTGACGCAGCCGTGGGGCAGAGCACCAGGTCAGACTCGTGAGCTCCAGCTACCCCGGCCCCGTGCGCACCTGCTCCCAGGACCGCAGCTGGGCCTTTCCACTTTTTATTTTCACACTTTGATTTGTAACATCAAACTTATTGGTCTTTCCTTCCTGGTCTGTACTTTTTGCACTTGAGAAATCACTTTAAACCCAGCACGTAAGAATCAACAGTGCAGGTGCTCCTGATGTCCGAGAGGCTTGCGAGCCTCTGGGTCCCCAACAGTCTGACGGCCTCACGCCCACTTTTCTCTCTGCAACTCCTCCTCACTTTGGACTGGCAGCCTCGCTGACGGGGACCCCAACCCCACCAGAACCCAGACGTGTGTTCTGCCCTCCTGCAGCCCTGCCCCAGCTCCTGTGTTGCCAGCAGTCCTCAGGAAACCTCCGTCCGCCACAGTCCCCTGCCGCAGAGCCACGCCCTGCCCCATGAGAGTAAAACTGCTGAGAAACATGGCCCAGAGGTAGCCCCTCCACTCAGGTCACCAGCCACCTGCAGGGCTAAACCAACATCAATCCGTGAGGGGCTCGATAGGACGTTCACTAGAAACTGCGCTGACTGCAGATTAACGGGGGAGGACCGCCACCTTTGACACTGGTATAGAGGAGTGCAGATAATCTTTAGACCCTGATCACACAGCAGCATCCTGCTGAGCTACTGCTATTTCTACTAATTTGTGAGAATGTGCTAGGATTTTTGCATAGACAATTTCATTAACTGAGGACCATAAAAGTTTGCTTTTGTCCACCCATTCTTTGTCTGGTTGGTTTACTGTGGTCTTTTTGTGCCAGCCTCTCCAGGACAATATCAGACGAGGACCCTGATGCGGGCCTCCCTGCCCCATTCCTGGTGCTAGAGGAGAACTGGCTCAGCCCCACTGACGCCCACCAGCCGTGCGACTCTGGATGGATCACTTACACCCTCTTGGGGGCCTCTGTCTTCCCGAGTATGAAATGAAGAAAATAATAGTACATAACCTCAAGTGTTGTTGTGAGCGTTGAGCACAGAACAGCGTCAACTGTTAGTATCACACATCACCAACAAGCTGCAGCGTTGGCAGGTTCCTGCCACGGGTCAAGACACCCCACTGGCTCCAGTGGGTACGATGACTGTGTGTCTGAGCTGACTGCTTTTTCCAACTCTGGCTGGAGGAGCATACTTTTTTCTTGCTATTACAGGTTTCCGGGGCGAACCTGTCCCTGCGTCCTGGGCACCTGCTCAACCACGACTGGCTAGCATTTTAGGGCTTTTGCATCTTTGCTTCCCGATGAGCCTGACCTGTTTCCCTCTCACATGTCATCTGGTTTTGGTAACAGGTTAATTTGGCTCATAAATTAAGTTGGTGAATGTCCTTTTGTTGCACATTCTCTAAAAGTATGTGTTTAAAAAAGTGCAGAAGTGAGCACCCGTGTCTCACCTGGACACTGGTACGGATGCTTACCTATTAAGCAAGATGCTCCCTTTGGGGCTGAGATAAATATATTTTTTTATCATGTAAAAGAACTATCCATCCATTCATATTGTTTTTTAAAAGACGACCGGTATGGGGATCTTAACCTTGACTTGGTGTTGACAGCACCACGCTCTCCCGAGTGAGCCACGGGCCGGCCACTATTCTGAGTTTTTAATAAAGGATTGACAGCTAGGGAGGTGCTCTATGACTTTTCTTCTTACACCAATTAGCATGATGATGCCTATCAGCCAGCCTCCTCCTGTGGAACTGTCCCTGTCCTCGCTGTCTGGGCTGAGCTAGTTGTTAGGCTCAGTTATCCTGAAGGGTGCCACACGAAACAAATCAACTTGGTTCCCGAGTTTTGGAACTGACAGTCAACGTACCAAGGGTTACTGTCTCCTCCCAAAGCCTTCTCGACAAACACATCCCAAACCACCTCTGCCTGCAGGTTCCGCTGCAGGATGTGGACAGTGAGGGGCAGGCTCGTGAGGGAGGCTGGCCTGCCAGTGTCTTTGGTGGTATCTTGGTGTAAATATAACACTCAGATCATAAAAAGAATTTGGAAAGTTTTTTGCTGTTTGGCTCTGGGTGACACAGGCCTGAGGTGTGGGAGAACCACTTTGGAAGCAGCCCGGGTCCCACATTCAGGGTGGTTGCTGCGAGCTCTCCTTCGGGGAGTTTAATCTTCCTGGTGCCACACGAAACAAATCAACTTGGTTCCCGAGTTTTGGAACTGACAGTCAACGTACCAAGGGTTACTGTCTCCTCCCAAAGCCTTCTCGACAAACACATCCCAAACCACCTCTGCCTGCAGGTTCCGCTGCAGGATGTGGACAGTGAGGGGCAGGCTCGTGAGGGAGGCTGGCCTGCCAGTGTCTTTGGTGGTATCTTGGTGTAAATATAACACTCAGATCATAAAAAGAATTTGGAAAGTTTTTTGCTGTTTGGCTCTGGGTGACACAGGCCTGAGGTGTGGGAGAACCACTTTGGAAGCAGCCCGGGTCCCACATTCAGGGTGGTTGCTGCGAGCTCTCCTTCGGGGAGTTTAACCTTCCTAGGAAATCACTCACAGCTCGGGGTTCTCAGAGGTGGCTGTGTTGAGCTGAGCCTTTTCACTTTTTTCCCCCACATTCACATAACTTTTATTACAGCATACTGTTATAATTGTTCTATTTCCTAATTAGCTATTGTGGATAATCTCTTACTGTGCCTAACTTATAAGTTAAACTTTATCACAGGTATGTAGGTATAGGAAAAATATAGCATATAATGAGTATGGTACCATCTGCAGTTTCAGTCATCCACTGGGGGTCTTGGAACTTATCCCTGCAGATAAAGGGGGACGACTGTACTTGCAAACACATTTCATGAGAACAGCCCCACCTTGATACTCATGTCAAACAAAGACATCACAAGAAAAGAAACCTACAGGTCAATCTCTCTCATGAACATTGATGCAAAAATCCTCAATAAAAATCCAAAAACACATCAAAGAGATTATATCTTATGACCAAATGGGATTTATCCCTAGCATGCAAGGCTGGTTTAATGTACAAATCAGTCCATGTGATACACCACGTTAACAGAACGAAAGATTAAAATCTCATGATCATCTCAATTGATGCAGAAAAAAAGAAAAATCCAACATCCTTCCTTGGTAACAACACTGAGTGATTTAGGTATAGAAGGAAAGTTCCTCAACATAATAAAGCCATTTATGAAGAACACAACAGCTAACATAATCGATGGGGAGAAACAAAGATTTTTCACCAAGATGCAGCACAAAGCAAGGATGGCCACTCTCACCTCTTTTATTCAGCACAGCCCCGGGCGTCCTGGCCAGAGCTGTTGGAGGAGACAAAGAAATAAAAGGCATCCAAACTGAGGAGGAGGGACAAAAGTTATCTCCACTTGCAGGTGACACGATCCTATGTAGAAAACCTCAGAAACTCCACAAAAAAACGGTCAGAATAAATGAATTCAACAAAGATGCAGGATACAAACCCACATTCAAACATCAGTAGCATCTTAACACACAAATGACGAGTCTTCGCTTTCAAGTCTTCTTATCTTCTCTGCGTCCATGCTCACTTTTCCATTAGCATTTCTCATTTTGTTTTGGGGTTTTCTCCTGATTAGGCAGCAACTCAACTATTTCATTCACTTTTTTAAAGGACTGGATATAAAATATAATCGTTCTGCCAATGGTTTACTTTCCAAAGCACTGGTTTCTCTCTGTATTTTCTGCCTTGTTCAGGTCTGGGCAGATAGAACGAGGATCAGACGCAGCAGTGACGAAAGGACGACAGTGACACACACGCCCAGGGCAGGTGCAG